CCCCCCCCCCCCCCCCACGGAGACCACATTTTGATTTCATTATATGTTGAGTGGATCCATTTCAACGATAAAACACCAATGTTGTACTTCGGCAAACATGCAGGTCTCGAGAAAATTGCTTTTATCTATGTATGACGTCATCCGTAGATGAGAAAACCAAAATTTTTTGAAATTCAAAACTTTGAAAATACTGACAGATAGAGCATCACATGTGTACAAAAAAACTATATTACAATAATCACGTACAGTCAATTTTTACTGAAATATTGCTGACCAAAGCTTTGGAAAAATGCTGAGTAAGCATCTTTAGTCAATGCTGAATAGTCTGCAAATAGTTAACTGTAGCAACTTTATTTTTCGGACAATAAATCTCCCGTAGAGAAACTGTCTCCTGGGGAAAGGATTAAAATGTTTCCGTCGTAATAATGCCTTGAATTGGGCGTTCCAGCATGCGTTTCAAAGGAAGGCAGATTTATGCCTCAACGGAATTAAGCGCAGTGCGGACGTCAAGCGATTGTTTCCATAAACATGTTTATTAACATTAATCAAAACTTGTCCAAAATGAAGATCAAATTAGTAAGGTTTTTATCTTCTTACTAGTTTTTTTAGTGTTTTGAAAATTTAGTTTTAATTAACGAAACAGAATTTAACAGCAAATTTTGATGAAAAATTGCCCCTTTGCGCCTAATTTCGCTTTTCGAGGCCTTTTCAGAGGGCCCCTTACCCCCAAGAAACCGCACTTTCCGTCACCCAATTTAGCCACAAAGAATTTGCCTGATTTATTAAGCTTATAAATGTTCGTAAATGTTCGTCGGAAAAGCTCGGTATTTGTCGCATTTTACGAATTTGCCATGTGACCGGTACGCTCATCACCGCTCATGCACCGCGACACGAAATTTAGAGCTATATGAAAGTTGCATGCCATATATGACATGCAACAAAAACGATTCGACACTCTAAAATATTCTATTCGTTGCTGTATAAATTCAACTACAAGAGTTCCTTAGCGGAGAATGGAAGAAATAGTCAAGGTCAAGTTGGTTGGCGAGGGGTATTGCATGTTTGTTGAAATTCTTTGTCCACCTCAACAATTAATTGGTAACCCTCGCCATTCGGACCTCGCTTTAACTGTTTTTTCTCTTCTATTTATACATGTTAAAATTGTTGGATACTGCGCACGCGAGTTGCGGTTGAAACTAATTTAGACTTCTCGATATTAATTTTAATAATATATTTTAACCGGATTCATCCCATGCGCATGCGCAGTCAGGAACAATTGTAGCAGGTATGAAAGGAATAGAAATAAAAAAATAAAAATGCATGGAGTGGCGGGTGTTGACGGTTATCAATTCAAAATTGAAATCCATAAGGTCAAAATGTAGTACATCGCTTTAATTCTGTTTTCCCCTTCTATTTATAAGATTAATACATGTTAAAATTGGTCGATACTTCGCACGTACGCAGGAGGCGGTTTGAACAAAGACTTGCCGATATTAAGTTTTATATATTTTAACCTCATCCCACATGCGAAGTGTGCAAAAATTTTAACAGGTATAAAAGCGAAAGAAAAGCTTAAATTGAAACGTGATTCGAATGGCGAGGATTATCAATTGAAAATCGGGCTACGCCCGACGGAGCAATAAGGTCAAAATTTAGTACACCTCGTCAATAAACTTCACCTCGAATTTTTTCTTTTGCTTTTCCGCGTACTGATATATTTAGCTTAATCTCGAATATTTACAGATCAGGACAAATTATTTTATATTTTTTCCTTCCATTCCTATCTGCAATTCAAAGTGCGCTATCAAGGTTTTGAAAAACGATTCGAAACTCGATCTAATTTTTACACAATTAAAACACCAATTTCAAAAATTGTATATTCGCTGAAAAAATAGAAGAAATAGTGGAGGTGAAATTCGTTGGCGAGGGATTTTCTTATCCATCTAAACAATTAATTGGTAAACCTCGCCATTCGGACCTCGCTTCAAGTATGTTTTTCTCTTTTATTTTATACATATTAAAATTGTTCAATACAGCGCAGGCGTGATGCGAATGGAACTAATTCATTAAGTTTGCCGATATTAATTTTAATAAATTTTAAAATGATACCCATGCGCAGTGTACGATAATTTTCACAGCTATCGAAGCAAATCGAAGCAGGAGAAAACATGACTTAATCGAGGTTCAAATGTCGAAGGTTGGCGGTTATCGATTGGAAATTCAGATCTGTCCGATGTTAAAATGCGATAGCTATACCCAGGAAACTTGACCTCCCACTTTTTATATAATATTACACTTTTTGCCGTCCTGATATGTTTACGGCTTGTATTTGTAATTATGAATATTTAGCTACAGATCAAGGTAAATTCTGGCATATTTTGGCCTTCGATTCAGGACTGTAATTCAAAGTGTACTATCATGCAAACTTTTAAAAAACGATTCGACACACAAGTTTAATTTCTTTGTGCTAAAACACCTCTTTCTAAAATATTTTATTCGTTGCAGTATAAATTCAACTGTAAGTGTTCATTAGCCGGAAAATGGAAAAATTGTTCAGGTCAAATTGGTTGGCGAGGGTATTACATGTTTGTTGAAATTCTTTATCCACCTCAACAATTAATTGGTAACCCTCGCCATTCGGACCTCGTTTTAACTGTGTTTTTCTCTCACTATTTATACATGTTAAAATTATTGGATACTGCAGCGCACACGGGATGCGGTTGAAACTAATTTAGACTTGCCAATATTAACTTTAATAATTAATTTTATTTGGATGCATCTCATGGGCATACACAGTGAGAAACAATTCTAGGAAGTATGATAGGAGGAGAAAGGAAAAATTAAAAAACGCTAGAATGGCGGGGGTTGACGGTTATCAATTCGAAATTGAGATCCATATACGGTCAAAATGTAGTACCCTTAGCCATTAAACTTGATCTCCAATTATTTGTTTGCTTTTCACCGACCTGATATATATATATATATATATATATATATATATATATATATATATATATATATATATATATATATATATATATATATATATATATATATATATATATATATATATATGTATATATATATATATATATATATATATATACGAGTAAGTTTGTGTATACGAAAGAGTGCTTTGCAATTTCGAACACTTACTAATCTCGTGTAGAATCAAGTGTAAGAGTTCCTTACGCAGGAAAATAAAAGAAATAGCCGAGGTCAGATAGGTCCACAAAAGGACTTATATGTTTGTCGAAATTCTGTGTCCATATCAACATATAACCCTAGTGGTAACCCTCGCTATATATGGAATCCTCGGCAATCGGACCTCGCTTTAATTACGTTTTCTCCTTCTATTTATAACATTAATACAAGTTAAAATTGGTCGACACTGCACACGCAGGAGGCGGTTGCAACTAAGACTTGCCGATATTAGTTTAATATATTTTAACCTCATCCCACATGCGAAGCTAGTGTGCAGCAATTTCAACAGGTATAAAAGTGGGAGAAAAGCAAAATTGAAACGAGGTACCATCCGAAGGGCAAGGATTTCAAATCTAAATAAGGTAAAAATTTATTACCCCTCGTCAAGAAACTTGACCCCAATTTTTTTTTTATTTTCTACATATACCTGTACTGCTATATTTAGCTTTTGTAATTTCGACTGTTTACAGATCAAAGGAAATTATTTTATATTTTGGCCTTCTGCAGTTCATTACTGTAATTGAAAGTGTTCTGTATCAAGCTTTTAAAATACGATTTCAAAAATTGTATGCCGAAAAATAGAAGAAATACTCGAGATCAAAACGAAGGATGTTACATATTCGTCGAAATTCTGTATTAGGCCGTGGGATGAGCATCCAAAAGATGCAATTCCGTTGCACCCCTCGTGGAACTACGTAATTTTCACATGAATAAATAGATAAAAACTTACTTTATCAGAATCCGTTGCTCCCCAAGTGA